TGTTCCACTTTGGTCGCACACCTAGACAGTCCACGAGAGACATGGGGAGACGGGAAAGCAAAGTAAACACTGCAGACCGTGTAACATATTGGCTGATGACACAAACGGCAGCAGCGCATCTCGGGTGGTTCCCCTAGGGCGTTCCATCGAAATGATAGTGAGAGGTGTCGAAAGAATGTTAGAATTTAAGAGATCCCATGATAAATCCCTTACATATGCACTGGCGGAAGCTATGGTCGAAGTACACAGTTATGTTAAATTTAACTGATGGCCAAGCGCACAAAAGTCAAGAAGCAGACTTGGAGAGGAACAGAGCATATATTTTATCAGCGTGAGCTGCGTGTCACGACTGTGTATACCAATGTACACTAATGGCTCCACAGAAGATTAGCTATTGTTTCATGCTGACTTCGCCACAAAAAGAAGTATGATGAGATCCACAAAACAAAGGAGTTACAACAACAGCTGTATCATCAAGTCCTGCTGGAAGGTCAAAAGTCAGTTGACAAGTAGAACTAGCTGTGGTCTTTGCCGATGCTCATAAACAAATAACGAAAATAAGGTGGTAACTGTTTTCCGCCGAAACGGTTTCTTCCATCGAATCACATGGAACTGGCGAAAAATCTGCCACCCATCTGATACCCTAATCCACTGACACGATGCATCGTGACGCAGTGTAGTACAGAAGATATTTCCAGGCAAAGAGCAGTCAGTAAAGTAGAAAAAATGTAAGGGTTGAATGGTATGACAAAATTAAGCACGCAGCCAAGTGGTACGCAGTGCACAGGATAGAAGTAGTATTAGTCGTAATCGTAGTACAAAAAGTTGAAAGATGCAAAGAAGTTTTACCAAAACGGGATACTGAAGACCGAAGGTCTGGTACACCATGTCCCTTGCGCACGAGATGACTCTATGGATGTGGCGAAAAGATAGGTAACCTACGTCCGACTGAGGTTCTGCACACTCCTAGGTCAAGACAGCTCTTGGTCTTCATCATAGAATTTCTGGCGGAGGCTCGAAAAATTAAGTGGAAAGGTATCCGTTCCAATACATTGATACGATGTAGCAGGAAGGTACTCCCTTTACTTTGGTACTCTATATTACGATGCTAAACGGTCCAGTCATCAAATTTGGAAAATAAGATAGTGTCATTAAACATGCGCAGTCAACTGAGGTGTCGTTTAAATGAGAGGACATGGCAACAGCTTCCAGTCAAATAGTCCTCCACATGCGCGGAGAAGCACTAGAGTGCCGTTTCGACTTGTTGGGTCCTTTAGCAGTGTGCATCTAACGGATTCATTAGGATTAGAACCCACGACCGCCAGCAGTTCAAACTGCCAGCCAGCAGCTTATGCCAGTGAGCCATAAGGGACGGCTGCGGATCGTCATGATTTGCAAGCTAACGGTAATTTAGCGCGTCTTATATTCCACTGCCAAGCAAGTTACGGATGTTGTAGGGGACAGGGTTGGCCGCGAAAGTCAAAACTTCCACTGACATTAGTTAAGTACAACATGGTAATTAGAAGCTGTCGAGGCGAATAATTTGATGTACTCGCAACTAACTTGTAAAACATAAAGGTCCGCTGCTGTCCTTTACGGCTCAGGCACACAAGTCGTTGGCTGGCGGCTCAAGCTGCTGGTGGTCATGAATTCAGATCCTGATTGATCCCAAGACGCACGCTAGAAGAAACCCAACAGGTCTGAACGGGCATGAGGAGGACCATCTGATTCGGAGGCTGCTAAGATGAACCCCCAATTAATCAACTCAAAAATCTGTTACTCAGAAGGTATCGGTTGTTGATGGCTATCAGCTCTTCTGCTTGTCAGTTGAAAGCAAATGATGACGCTGTGGACTTTATACCAAAGTGCATTGAACAACATTAGGGTGAAAATTATCTACTGAATAGCTTTGCTCCCGCATTGCAGTAATACACGAGGATGTCAGTGAAGAAGTACACTGGATTCAGGTGTTCAGACAGCGGTTCTGTCTCAACAACATTGCTGATGCGATGTCCTAAATAAGAAAAATTGCTAAGCATGTGGTACGAAATAACGAAAGGGTCGCGCATAGCAGAGCACATCGGTAAAATTAAGGTGGGAAATTTCGGACCAAGACATCATAAAAAGAAGCAGCGGTGTAGGCCAGTCCCCTCACACGTTGTAGACATATTATATGCTCTCTTGAATAGCAGCAGACAATTCAGCCTCCGCGTAGCAATTCACAGCTTCTAAGGCGACCAATATTACCCAAATTGTTGTCAGGCACACCGTACTCAATTAATTGGAGGCAACCTCATAACATGGAGGAGAGTAAACGGATTATCAGGATGCATGGCAACAACTTAAGATCAGCGCAACCCCACTTAAAATGAAGAGGACCTGCCTATCTTCCGATATGCGAAAGGCTTCCTCCCAATGGTGTCAAACAGTGTGTTACTGTAAATGTTAACGGTATCTGATTGTGTTGAAACGACAATAACAAAACGCCAATAGGCTGTCATACAAATATGTGAATAGTAAGTTGGATTGTAAATACTTATCCAAACAACAGCTATTAAACAATGCAACGCACTGGTAAAGTCCCAATCGGACTCTTTGGTAATAAAATCACATTTAACTATGTAACCAAGGCTGTAAGTTTACATAACCCCAATGCCGCACTGGTAATAGAAAAGCCTAAATTCTTTCGTTGCAAACCTCGAAGTCCACTTGTTTTAAAATATACGCTTCAAGGTTTGAATCACTGTCATTCAGATTTATGCAAAATGCAGTGCTGTTGCTAAGTTGTATTATGGCTAGCAACTAATGTCACAGGAGGAACTGAGCCTTCTGAAAATGTGGAAACGCTGTCCATAAATGAACAAATGCAGTTTTGCATCGAACAGCATCGACGGACGCATCCTGTCAACAATGATTCAAGACGTCATTGATGGAGAACCGTTCGAAATGGCATGAGGACGAATTAAACTAGATGATACCGGCTGACATGCATTTACGTTTCACCCTAACAAGCGTTGGTTCGTTGAACCTGTCGATCAACGAACAAACAACTCTAAGTTAACAAGTATGGACAGGCTCCGGAGATGAAGTTTACTGAGATGAGGATCTGAGATGTCTCGATGTGCAACGCATATAACCCGGCAAACGATATTAGTAAATCAAACTGAAAGGGAAATTTATCGTTAACGAAGGGATTGAAGTGACCGCGGTTAAACAGGCGCAAACATAGAAGCAAGTGTACTATAGCCCATTTGTCACGTGCGTCCACAGGAAGCAGATGCCTCATTTGAGCCAGCTAGTATTCGATAAACGCAGAGGGGCTTCAAACTGTCCCTAGCTTCCTTATCATTACACCAACTTTTAGCAATGCGTACTATTTTGCTATCACCTTCAAATCATGGATCTGTTGTAAAATTGCCTAGCTTTTGCTCGTGAGATGTTTGAACAGTGTTACTATATGTGTCGTAGGCTAACATCTCCGAGACACGTTTATCCATGCGTGGGCTACCAGTTCACACGCGAGTGAAAAATCATGACGTTCGCTGCGATTGCGGTTGGGTCCAAACGGGTTGTTCCGGACATGGAAGTGTAAAGATCACCTATGCAACGGCACATATCTTCACGATAATAATACGTAAAAACTGAGAAGGAAATGGGGTACACAGCAATGAAGCCTATAAAAAAGGTTTAGGAAAAGAACAAATAATAATGAATAGGAAGGACCAAAACTCGGGTGTCACAGGCTGGAGGCAAGAATGTCGAATCTTTTGAAGCTGCCGTATGATGGAGAAGTAAGCTAAAGGATAAATTTCGGGCGTAGGAAAACGCTAAATTTTCATGGATAGAAAAGACACTAAAGGATAAATAATAATATAAAATCGTCAGCTGTATGCCATAACAGCGCTACGCTGGCGCGCGACCATCAACAGTCGCGCGTGGGTTAAGTATATCGCGAAGACGCCGGCCCTACGCGGATTCGAACCGATGACCTTATGGTTGCGAGCTACGCGTGCAGACCACTCAGCCAGCGGCCAACGACGCAAAAGGAATGATGCGTTAGTCTTAAATGTATCACCGATCGCTATTTAGGACTCCTCATAATGTCAGAACGAAGTACAGAACGAGTAGTTAGACAACATAGCCCAGATGTGGCAAGAGTTTTGCCGATTGGTTGGGACGTTGTTTACTAACACACGCAGCAGTTGCTGCCTTTATGAAGATATCTAACTCCTGGAATATGGGGTGCCCATTTGATGTCATAAAGCGATGCTAAAGAATTGCCGCCTAGATGAATAATGAAATGTAATGGGGTTTTGGAGATGGAATGAAGCACACAGTTCATAAAAACTAAACAGCCGCCCTTATGATTTCATCCATAAATCAAACTAGTACTTATTTCCGTAGGAAAGGAATGGTAGAACATTTTCGACTCGTTAATTACATTGAATACTATTAGAGATTGTCGCCAGATGAGTATTGACGAGCGCGACAGTGTTACAAAATAAGCAAACAAAGAAAAGAAGGGTAAAAGCCACAAATTGGAGCAGGATACAAGTTCGCGACTTATAACGCTATGAACATGCCGACTTAGCTGAGTAGACGAAACACTGAAAGTCGCTGCAATCAAAGGACAAAAGAACTATAATACTAAACATAATTTAACTTATAGTAACACCCTGAATTCAAACTACAGCATATATTGATGAATAATAAACGTGAGTGTCTTCGAATGCGTGTATTCTGTGCGCTGTATTCCGTGCAGAGACGATATCACCTGATCTACATAAATACGAAAAGGTTGCTGATAAATTGCAGCTAATACTGGGTCAAGTATACCCGAATCGAAAGGGTTGAAAACATATCTGCCTCAGTATCATTCGGTAAAACCTGTTAATTACTGCGCGCCTCTTAAACGGCTGTTAAAGTGCAAAGGAAAACAAGAGACAGAAAGTGTTGGGATGTTACAGCTATCGAATGAATAGTAAACAGAAGAAACTCACCTGAGGTAACGCACATCTGGAATCCGAGAGTAAGCAGGACCAACGCAATCAAATTACGAGAGATTGCTACACGCAGGTCAAGAGCGCAGTACATTGTGGAGTATTTTGGGGGCGCTTTCACGACTCATCCATCACACATTCAGCGAAAAGGAGGGAGAGCCATAAAGGAGGGACACACTCATCGTTCAAAAGACATCTTGAAACGTCTATAACAAAAGAAAATTAAAAAATGATGCGCACAAAAATCGTAATTAATACAGTGTCGATTTGCATGGGCATCGTAATTGTAAGGATGAGTGGAAGCAAGTAATAAGCACGCTTGAAATTCGCATATAATTTATGGGATCCCAAATTATGTCAGGCATGTCAATGTGAGGATTCATCGAGGGCCGAGTCACATTCGCTACCATGATAGCCACACGTGGTAACTAATTGGAGGTCTTGTAACATTTTTTAGAATATTCACAGTGCGCTTGTGTGGAACACGGTCTCATACGGCCGGCCGGATGTCAGCTTAGTATTCCTGATCCACATGCCATTGCCTGTGCTAGGTACAGCAAATTCTCATGATCACAATAGATGCCATGGAAATTAATATGACTTGGCCAATCTAAAATGAGTAGAAATAACAGGTAGTCGGTTTCCTTTCATAGGTACAAGATTTCGGTAACAACTACTCGCGTTGAGACGCTATGGAAGCACTTACCTACCTCTAAATTAACGAAAAGTCTTATTCAGGTGAAACCGTGGCAATGAAAAAAAGAACTCAATCTATAGTACTTTCAAGAGCGAAAGATAGGTATGAGCGAACATGGAATCAAAAGGACAAACAGTGACACGTAGTGTCACTCGTAGAATGACTACAACACTATACACTAGATCTGAACGCAAAACGATGAAACACCCTGTAGTTGTATATGTCAGATTCAAATTGTGTGAAGGTGACAGTTGAAACTTGGGTCAAACATGCAAAAAAGAGAACGGCTGCTACCGTTTTCAATATTGCACAGTAAAACAAGCACTGCTGTTCAAAAGTGTACCCGATAGTTGGCGATATAGAGCAGCAGCAATTGTAGACATATTAGCGGTTGAGTGGACAAAGAGCGACCGTGCTACGCTGCGATAACATTTGTTAGTGCGCCAAAAATGCCCCACCAGTGATATTTATGAATATGCGCACGATACTAGCTGATGGGAAGTTGTGTGTCCTTGGAATTCCAGATTTATAACCTAGAGAGGTGTTGGGTGGTGTAAACTCTATAATTAGAATGATTACCGTATCCAACAAGCTACAAGATCACGGCGTGCTTGTCGTGATATACCGTTCGAGCTTTCTTTTCCCCGGAATCCTTGTGTGGGATCAGTATTTGAATAACATTAAACAGAAAATTTGCCTTTGTCAGTTTGCTTGTGACTCAAGCGGGCTTGGAGGTGCCCAAGATATCAGCGTTTAAAGACCTCCTTGTGAGGTTTCGGAAACTTGCTTCTTGTTCTGATCCTGCATAAATCCTGTTGGCGTTCTACTTGAGGAAGCGGAAGTCTGCGGTTTTTCCTTGTGAATATCCATCTGGCACAACTTCCTGAGTCGTCTTCAGTATCCGTTTGGCACCTACAGTATTAGCTGATCGTACTCTCGTCGATTGCCTAATCGATTTCCGCAAACCGGTTCACATTTTGTTGACCTGTTGATTTTGCTTATTTCGTGTTTTATTTTTGTAGAATTAGCAAGCGGAAACCGTTCCGCTGATTCAGCTGACTCAGCAGTATCATGCGGTAAGATTAGGTGCCTAGAGTCTGTTACCGACTCATCAGGCGGAATGCAGTACGACATTTGCCATAGAGGATTCCATGAGCCATGTATTGATTTAGTTCCAGCGCAGTACAGGCTTTTAGCATCGAATGAAAGTGTGCTTTATAGCTGCTCCAACTATAGGAGCAGTATCCATCGGTGCACATGGGCAGCAGGCGATTTCGCCACACTAGTTTCCAGGTTAGATAACCTAGAAGCTCTGTGACCATTGTTGACCCCTCTAGATCGGAAAGTCGAATAACTTGCAGCCAGGTTTGTGATATTGAGACCTCTCAGCCAAGAGACTAATGTAGATGATCGTAACGTAACAAACTCACTCATTTCAAATCTTACAATAGTCACTGTATGGACTTCTTCCGTTTTTGAAGACCTATCACATTTTCTTTTTGACCCCGCTCATAGTGAAGGAGAAGTGCAGACCCCTACATCTGTCAAAATAAAGCGAAAGATGGTGAAGGAAGTCGCACCGTCTTCACCTGAAGTGATTTGCAGTCAGTTCCTTTGACTACAAGTCCTGATGTAATGACACCTCACGCAGTAATTTGTGCATCTAATGGACCTACAGAACCTACTACGGACGTGCGCCCGTCTGGTTTGGTGATACGAGCACTATATACCCCTCGTCGCGGCGACTTATTTACCGACTATAGCCCCATAGTTAGGGACGTATCTGAGCCCACTGTTACTCTTCCGACGAAGCATACCATGAAGGATCTCCAATTTTTAGCCTTAGTGCTTCTAAACTACTGTAGCCCGGATTCTCCGGGGTAACGGTTAGAAAGCTCACGAAGGTTGTCAACATACATATTGGCGAGCTGAACCTCCCTACCTCGTCTTCTGAGAAATGAGCCCCAGGCACTCCTGCGATTTGCATTCAAACTCTAGAGTTATGGGGCATTGTGCAACCTAACATTCTTTTGGCTGACGGGCTGAGGCTAAAAGAGGCTATCAAACACTTTAAAGTGCGCCGTGACACTCCAGAGAATGATCTTCAGTTGGCGCACTTTCGGATAGTGAGCCGGCGGTCGAATTTTGTTCTGCCAGAATCCGTTTTGGTGTCGCACGATCCCGGGCTCACTATAAAGATAACTTTCAGGTCGTATTCAGTAACGTGCTTAAATTGTGAAACAAGTGGTGCTAGGTTGGCGCTCTTGTGGACCACTCTCGACATGACGTCCTTATATTCACTGAAATATGGTTGTCATCCGACCTTACGGATAGTGAGTAGGCCTACCAGCCTACGCATTACTGTGAGCTGACTGCGCACTCGACCGTCGAGGTGGAAGCGTAGCCCATTATCTCAGATTTACCTTAGCTATTTCCAAAATTCGAACGTTTCGCTCATCGAGTGGGACTGCATAAGCTCTTTCAGTTAAAGTGCGTAACTCTAAGCAGGTACACATTGTGTTAGTAAATAGGGTTCCTGAGAGCACTTCAAATGGGTTCATTGACTTCATTCGTAGGCAGTCGACTACCGGATGCCTGGTTATGGGAGATTTTAACCTTTCTGAGATAGGCTGACAGACCTTTTCAAGTCAATCAGTAGCGTGGAGGTTGGCCACTGCTCTTCTCGACCTAACGTTGCTGATTCCCTTACACCAGTTCGTGGATCAGCCAACTAGGTTCATGGAAGGTTAGGCCCGTCCCTCCTAGATCTAATATCCGCTAAGTCTGCAGATTTTATAAGTGAACTTACATAGGAACCACCTCTGGGAGGTAGCGCTCACGTCTGTTCACTATGCAAGTATGCCCACTTCCGTGATGAAATTATTAACAACATTCCTAGTCCGAAGATGTGGCAAGCAGATTTCCCTGCGGTCAGACCTAAGATCACAACTACGCCCTGCATCATCTATGCCGGCGAGTACTTGCAGATCGCGTGGGAGAACTTCAAGTCCTACTTGTCTGATGTGTCTCTCCCTCATAGCCCCATTTCTTGTTGAGGACGGTTAAAAAGGAGAAGCCTCCATGGGTTGATCCAACAGCACGTCGAATGATGAACAGGCGGACCAAGTGCTGGCGGACGTACCAGTCGTCTCCCTCGGAAATGGGTTTTCGGTGTTGTCGGGAAGCAGGAAATGCCTGCAAACAACATCTGCGTGCCTCGCGAGTATGCCAAGAAATGGAGTTGGCCGACTTGGATTTGTTTTATCCCAAGCGCTTCTTCGCCTATATCAAGAGGAGGACTAAGCTAAACTCACTCCTCCCAGTTTTGCTTGGTGTTGACTGCGACGTTGCTGATATGGATCACGCTAAGACCTCTCTTCTTGCGGAACAATATGCGCGTGCATTTGTTACAGGATGGTGCTTGCCACGTACTGGATTGGGGATAAGAGTTCCGTCTGACTCTCTGATGACGGATATTTGCGTTACAGGGACTCAGGTGCTTGTTTCACTACGGGAGCTGAATCCTACCAAAGCGCTGGGGGCAGATGCTATTCACCCCAAGTTGTTATATGAACACGCAGCTGAGCTTTGTGAACCGATCAAGCGTTTGTTTGAGAAGTCCCTTCGCCACTGCTCCTTAACTTCTGATTGGAAGGAAGCGATAGTATGCCGCATTTGCAAGAAGAGTGACAGCCACCTTACTGAGAACTACAGACCTATCATTTTGACTAGTTTACTAGCCAGATTACTGGAAAAGCTAGTAAGAGAGACCCTGGAAGTCCACTTGATGAAGCTCGACTTGCTCAGTTCGTCTCAGCACGGTTTTCTTAAGGACTACTCTTGTCTTACCAATTTGTTGTATGCTAGAGAATGCTAGGCTGACGCGCTGGATCGATGCAAGACGATGTATTTGCTTTTCATTGACTTTGCTAAAGCTTTCGACACCGTCCCACATTATTTCCTTTTGTGTAAGCCGCGTTCATATGGTATCTATGGACAGGCGCTACGGTGGATGATGGCATTTCAAGAGGGGGGGATGTACGTTCGAGTGTCTCGAGCCTCTCCTCTCGATAGTTGGTTCTCAGTGGTGTTCCACAGGTGTCGTTCCTTGGTCCACTGTTGTTCACGTTTTATATCAGTGATTTGTCTGAGAAACTGGGTGTGTCGTCTCTCATGTTTGCAGACTACCTTAAGTTCTTGGGTACTGTCAGTGATTCTCATTTTCTGCAGAATGCATTTGATGGACTCTGGAATTGGTCCACTTTGTGGCAAATGCTTATAAAGTTTTCAAAGTGTTCAGTTTTGCGTCTTGGGAACAGTGACCCAGCAACGCCATACTTTTCAGAAGCAACAAAATACTACACGTATCAGAGCAAACTGACTTAGGTGTCATGTTGTCATCGAATCTCAATATGAGCGCAAACTGGACAAAAGCTGCTTACAGGGGATCCAGAATTCTATGGATGATCCGCAGATCATTTAGAATCCTAATAGGCGAGAGGTCTGTTA